AGAGCTGGCAAGAGCAAGCTGAATGGATAAGGAGAGCAGAACTGGAGGTGGTCTGTTAGCAATGGGCTTTTAGATTGGCTCACCCCATCCCATGGGAAGTTATCGGATATAAAGGCTGGTCTAACTTTTAAATGAGAACAAGGTCTAACACTCATTTAACAAGTGGCCAAAACAGCACAACGTAACCTGGAACAGCTGCAAGTTCTCAGACTTTTCCAGAGTTACACAATGAGAAAGTGGCAGGCATGAGAACACAATCTAAGAGTCCCTCTCATGGGCCTCCTTCTTGCCTTAGACTTGTCTCCCTTTTCAACCAGGCTGTGGTTTCCCTACTGACTGCCAGCAAGCCTTCCAGCTGTGCTAACTCGAGCAGTGGTGCTGACATCCGTTCACTAAGAACTGGACTGAGACCAACAGCTCCTTTTGTATCTCCCCACAGTCATTACTTCTTCTTCACTGTTGACTTGGACAAGATTCAAACCAGTTGCCTATGGGTGAAAGGTTCCGTCTCCAGTCATGAATTCCATGCTCCCTCATTCCCCTAGCTTCCTGCTGCCATCTCTCACCCCTTCTTCCTCCCAGGGGTGCTCTCTGAGTTGCTTGACCATTTTCCGCTGCCCCACAGTTCCAGCTCCTTGTGTCTATCCAGCCTTCTGCTTTCCAAAAGCTGCTAGTACTTGTTTGTTTGTTCTTCCTGCTTAAGTCTGCTTCTCTTTGTTTTTGAGCTAACCTGCTCTTTTATTGCTTTTCTTCCTGTTTCAGCATTACTGGCAACAGTCTCACTTTCTATGAAAATCCAGTCTAGCTTTTTGTCTCTCAGTCTCAGATTCTCCTCTGCCCCTGTTTTGCCAGACTCAGTGTAGACATTCGTTCTGCTTCCTCACTTCTTAGTCCAAGTGCTGCCCAACCAGGATCCCTCTAAGGCTTTTAACTGCTCTTGTGAAACACCACCTGGAGTACTGTGTCCACCTGTGGAGCCCTCAATATAAGAAGGATACATATTGGTTGGAATGAGTGCAGAGGAAGGCACGAAGATGCTCCAAGGGCTGGAGCACCTCCGCTATGATGAAAGGCTGAGAGAATTGGGCTTGTTCAGCCTGGAGAAGAGCAAGCTCCGGGGAGACCTTATAGCACCTTCCAGTGCCTGAAGGGGCTACAAGAAAGCTGGGGGGGGCTTTTTACAAGGGCCTGTAGTGACAGCACAAGGGGTAATGGGTTTAAATTGAAAGTGAGGAGGTTTAGATTAGATATCAGGAAGAAGTTCTTCCCGGAGAGGGTGGGGAGGCACTGGCACCGGTTGCCCAGAGAAGCTGTGGATGCCCCATCCCTGGAAGTGTCCAAGGCCAGGCTGGATGAGGCTTGGAGCAACCTGGTCTAGTGGAAGATGTCCCTGCCCATGGCAGGGGGGTTGGAACCAGATGATCTTTAAGGTCCTTCCAACCCAAACCATTCTATGATACTGTAACTAAAAAATTCATCTACCCAGCCAATAGCAAATAAAAGGACAAAAATTTGAAGCTGCTGGATGTTTCAGAGAAATGGAAATGATAAGTCAAGGAGATAGGGCTGCAGTCAATAAAAACCAGCAGGACATATCTGAAGAGAAAAGCTACTATGGATCCACCTTGCTTGCTGAGATATATGGCCACTTAGCCTCAGTGCAAATCTGTGCAAACTTGGTGGGGTTTTTTCCCCAACCTGAGCAGGTGCAGCTGTGCAGCACAGGGCTCCATCACGATGTAGACACAGCCTTAGGCTGACACAAGGTGGCCTCTATCACTCACACTCAACAAATTAACCTATGACAGCAAGCATTTACCTAGTCTCCCTGAAGGCAAGTGAAACCATACTGTTCTCCTATGACCAGTCACCACTTATGGGTGAGTGCACAAGGGTGCACATACAGTGATCCTTTTCTTTCAATAGGCTTGAGTTGCACCTTCCTACTACTAGTTCTGTGCCTCCACAAACGTTGCAGAATAGCTGGTCCATCTCCACCTTTGCTGATGACCAAGGTGGCCTGCAAAGACTTGGCAGTGTAGCATTCCCCACCACAATTTCATTCTAGCACTTTGGGCACATTCACTGGATTCTGGTTTATGATCACTGCTACCTGGTGTCTAAACGGGGGTCAATAATCTTAAGATAGGAAAACTGTACTGGTTTTTCCCCTCCCCACTCCATTCATATGTATGCGAACACAGTATTTTAACCAAATGAACACCATAGTCTAAACTATAATAGAGCCATTCCAGGTGTAATTAAATACATATATATGTTTCAGAAACGTAAACTCATCAAATGAATAAGGCTCCTCTTACAATTAAATTATTTTATGTATAGTAATGAACTTATTTGGCAAATCCACACATTACTCATCACTAATCTGTATTTCACTTTTCATTCAGAAGGTCAGGGTTATACCTTAGTATCTTGAAATGTGGATGGGATTTAAGCAAGTGAGCTGAGTTTAAATATCAAATTCAAACGAGGCACACATGTCTTTTTCTGGCCTGAGGATCATATGGCAAACAGCTGGACTCTAACATATATTGATATCTATATGGTCCCTACTGGTAGGGTAGGATCAATGTATTGCTGTTGCATGTCACAGCTGTTTCTCAAGCACTCACCTCTTTCTATCTTGTCCTTTACCCTGTTCTTGGGGATTTCAGGAATTACATATTTCATAGTATTTTCAGCTTCACGGGAAGTTACCTGTGAGAAGGTTTTCAGGACTACGAAGGGGAATACTCAAGCAAACCAACTCACTTCTTCAAGCATTTTGTTTCAAAACCATGTTTTCAGTCTGGACTAACTTCACTAAAATAGCACAACATCCAGATTTAATTGGGAAAAATAATTCCCTTTTCTAACATACATTCTAGATTTCCTTAAGAAGCATGAGTTTACTCCCTTAACGTTTGAAGTATCAGGCATACAACGAATGGTACATGAGATGAGATTATCTTGGTAATTTCAGAATGCAAGAAGGTCACCTCCTAGAGCACTTGCTGTTCCCTCGCCTTGCCTGTTTAGTTCTTTCCAGGAGAACTGGCTCCAGATCAGAACAGAGTCCAGTCCCTCTTGGATACAAACTTCCCACAAGTTTGTACATGAGTTATGATGTCTTTCTGGCTTATGAAGGACAAAAGGACAATGAAGCGATGCTGCACGACCAGCTCTTCCAGGCTACACAGATATCAGCTACATACTTGTAAGATTAGATTTGTTATGAAATTAGTCATCACCAGTTCAACTCCACATAAATTACACCAAAACCACAGATATAACAATGGAAACTTTTTTTTAATATAAATTACAGGTATTTTTCATTATAAAATTAATTCTACTTTAGACTAACACTTTATTGCTTTAACAGCATTTAATTTTCATTATACTTAATGATTTATAGTAGGTTCTTTCCAAACCAGAAACTTGTCATATAAATTAACGTACCATGTAGATATTGGGATAATTATTAGGACAAATATACTTAGGACAAAATGCTGGCTAAAACTTATGTTTAAAAGTTTTGCTTTCAAGCAATCTCAAAGGAAATAGTTTAAAAATAGGTCAATTTACATATTCTTTCACTTAAATTAGGAACCCTTGTACTGTTAAAAAAAGAAATAGAGAAGAGTTTTCTGTTAGTAATACCATTACTTTCTTTAATTTTCTAGTATGACAGGTACGTGTGTGTGTGTGTGTATAGATGTTTTTTTCCCCAGGTTAAATGGCCACTGCAGAACATACATATATGTTAAAGGTCAACCTTAGTATGAGATAAAAGCAACACAAATGATGAAACAAATGCATTTTAGCAAGATTACTAAGTCCTAACTTCAAATAGCCTTAAAACATGACCAGTCACATATCTAAATCTACAGAAATTACACCTGTTTAAGCCTTAGGAACTATTACATACTGTAAGCATAGTGCGTGAAAGAGTCCTTATCCTTTTACTCAGCAAAATTTCATGAATCAAAAAATCCTTTTAAAAAATCCATATGTGATTTTGAGGAGTGAAAGCAAGCAAGTATTAACAAGACCACCTATTTTATGCCAAATAGAAGCATGATGATTCATTCTTATCATATATTTCTCTGGGCAGTTCCTGACTGCAGTAACCGATGATGATTTTCCCAAAATGCAGTCTAGTCATAGAAAAGTTCAGAGACAAACAGAATAATTTCAACACTCTGCATTTCTTTAGGACATATGTTAATTTTATAACAAAAACAAGGACTTTGGGCTCGGTTTGCATCCACTACAACCAGTAGAACTTCCTCTTGCCTCAGTGAGAGCAGCTAAGATGAAAAATCATTCTGTTAATCAGTATTGAAAATAGTAATTGAGGTTTTGCTAAACTTGACAGATACCATAAGCAGCTCAAAGAAAACAGCAGCAGCTGTATTAATGTATTAACCATTGTTTTTCAAGAGTGGATGGAAGCCTTAATTTCCTCATGCATGTACTATATACATGGTATAATGAAGATTTTGCTAAGTTTGTACTCATTACCTGTTAATGATTGTAAATTAATTCAGTTTAGTAATGTTATGATTAAATGTTTGTCGAAGAAATAATTTGTTTTGGCACTTCAGCGTGAACAAAACGGATGTATAATAATGCGACTGAGCACAGCTAAACCTCCTACATGTCATGCTCAAAACTGCAGTGTCTGAAGCTAGAACAATGTAAAGCAGCTAAGGCAGCAATAAAAACTTTCATGAGCATATAGCACTTCAGTTCAGCAATATCAAATATACAGTGTACATCTTCGAAGACAAATAGCAAGAAAAAAATAAAAAGCACTCCTCTGGAAATGTTAATAGATACAGCGGCTCAGCCTTTGAGAAATTGGCTTTTCCATTGCTCTCCACAGGATTACTCAGGTTTTTAGCCTGAGCACTCAAGTACTATGATTTCTGGCTGATTAAGTGGACAGTTTCAAATTTTTCTTACACCAAAGATTACGTTCAAATGTAAGTACTTACACAGCAAAATGATAGATAAAACACTTCCATCCACTGGGCCTCTCCAGGAAGTTGTAGACGTCTCCCTGTGTACTGGTTTTCGTTAAATAATGGCTGTGGAAACACTTTGTTGTACAGGCCCTGTGGACTTCACTTTCTGGCAAGGCTGCAGCCTTTGTGCCTTCCTCTGGGTTGTGGGGAATCCCAGATCCATTATTCACTAGGGTTTCTGGATCCAGCGCCACGGCAGAATACTGCATATTGCTTAGGTTCCGCCTGACTTCCAGCGATGCTGCAGATTTCCTATTTCCATTCAGGCTGCTCAGCTGGGAACTGGAACCTTGAACATGTCCGCAGAGGTTATACATCGAATGCCCAACAGTTTCCGTGCTATCACAGGACATTCTGTAACAACGCACAGGTATTACTAACCCTGATCAATATTTAAAATCATAAAGGTGGTGTTGTATGTCCTCCCTGCCCAGGGTGTTCTCCAGCAGCTGATGACTCTCCGCTGTTATCACAGAGCTTCTCTGTGACACGAGTGTGAGCTGTCAGCCTGTCACCTGCTGTCACTCACAGCCTCTGAAATTAAATCAGAAAAGCTTATTAGACAACACATGCTGGACATCACAAATAACAAGAGGGCTGGGAAAGGAGAGAGGTTAAAACTTCCGGAGGAAGAAGGAAAATTACAGTTCAGTTACATTTGTTAAGAAGGAAGCCTAAAACTATTTAAATAGTGCAACACTAGTACAGCAGCAGAGTTGTCTTCAGAGCTGAACCTATGATATTATTCTAAGCTGAGCAGTTCCTGAAGTGTCCTGATTAGAGGTGGAAGTCTGAAAATGTTCTGGAATTTATAAACTTGTTGTTTCCTGAAGCACACCCAATTGATGTTTTGAACTTCAACACTTACACCTCAAGAGTGTCAATGCTACAGAAAGATTTTAAGACTTGAATAAATTATTTCAGTCACCTCATTGGACCTGATCTTGCCATCCACAGTACTAGGAACAATTTTTCTCAAGTGGAAAAAGGAGGATGCTATTAACACTAACTGTCACTGGGATGTTAATATAGTTACAAGGGAAAAGTTCAGAGACTTCTGACCTGACTCTTGGCTTTCTTTAAGCCACTTAATGTTTGCTGCTAACTTTGCTATTCGCAAGCAAGGGTCTAGATAAAATAGAATATAAAATAAGGCTCTTCTACATCAATATCTATTTCATGGGGCAGAGTGAAATTGCTGCTAATACACAGACATTTAACAGCAAAATTAGTAGTTTTCTAACACTGAGAGCAGCTGCCTTTCTGAAGTGTCATTTTTTGTACTGTCTCATTTGTTACACACTACCATGAAAAAACTTCCTTATTTAACATGCTTAGCTAAAATAAGAATAAGAGAATATTAAAAGTATCATGAGAGGTGAAGTTAACTTCAAAGCACTGCTGACATTAATGTCAAAATTATGTCTGTGATGTCATATTGAAGTGTACTGTGTTCCCACATGCCTAAGAGCTGCAGCTGACTGCTCCTCTGTCAGAAGAGACTCACACTGACATTTACTTTCGCCTCAGCAGAATAGTTCAGAGAGAGAGTATTTCAACCTTCATGCCCTCTTTTAAATGAAGCTTATTTTTTCTTGTTGCTTAAAGATCCTCAGGTGTAGTGGATGAACTCCCATTGTAGTACATCTGAACAGAGCCCTCTAAGTTATTTCACACAATATTTACATGGAGTAGCAGACTAGTTACAATGTGTTTATTTCTTAACCCTGGTTACCATAAGGTGGACTGATGTATTTCTACGTTAGTCCTACAGCAGTTAGATAAATACCTCCTTTCCCCCATCGGTTCTCTTAACAGTGAGAAGCTGGAGGGAGCAAACATTGAAGTTAAAACACAAAGCCCTTCATCCAAGCCAACCTACAACAAGAACATAGGAAACACCTATTAGAAGCACACTCCCTCCCTATCATTCATTTTAGGGTGCTGAGGCTACCTTGGCAAGTGCTTGTAGCAAAGGCTGGCTACCCAGCCCTTGCAAACAAAGCTACCTGAAGCACATTTGCTAGCCTGCTTAATCAAAACAGGGCATCCCGCACAGTGAGACATTAAGCACAGAAAAAACTGAAACCAGCTGGCAAACAGTACCTACTTGCTCATGCTGCATGTTCTTCAACTCCTCTTTGCTGCTCCCTCAGCTCCATGCAGCAGGCGCCCTGCGTAGGTGCAGGGAGAGGAGCTGCTGCCTGACTCTATTCCCAGCTTATCAAGTCTCACCCTGAGTAAGGCTGGGTCCCTCCCTTTTATCTGCCTTATATGGCTGCCCTTGCAAAAGGCAGAGAAAGAACTAGGGAACAGTTTTGATGAGTTCAGAGAGGAATTACTTCTGCTTCCTGTTGTCAAAACCAGCAATCACAAGCAGCAGCTGAATTTTGCTGAGGATCCTCCTTTCCCTCCTAGTCCTTCCCCTATCTGCATGCACTTAATTGCAATGAGTTAAATGGAATTTCCTTACTGCACATCTTTTTAAAAACTGAATTAAGTGTTGCTTGTGGCTTGCTGGGCGCTCTGCAGCAGGCTCTCTTATGGAGTAAGTCTGAACAGACAACTTCGTTTGGTTTTTTCCATCAAAATTTTGGCAAAAACAAAAGCAGCACTTCATGATGTTAAATTAAGTAACAGAAAATCAAAGTACCCTATTGCTATTGCCTTTCTGAACTATGGCTCCCTTTTTTTATTAATTTGGGAGGAAGAGAATCCCAATCATAACAATTCCAGCATCCAACTTCTTGGTTTATTGTTGAACTTTCTAATCAGGAAAGAGAAAGTGAATACCGCTATTTCTCTCTTTTTCTCCCTTTAGTAATAGAAAGCAGACTACTGTCTGAAATGCAAGACTTCTGAACATGAGTTGCTTCCACTTTTCCACAGTCATGTGGCTGAGAATAAAACAAAGATAACCATTCCATCTTTTGCTCTGGCAGTGGGGGGATGTTGCCATTGTACATGGCCTTCAAAATTTTTCATAACTGTTCATGGTCCTGAGTCCTCTCATTCCTTGGAATGATTATCCCAGAAAGTTACTTTCTTAGTTTCCCAGTTAATTTCCATACCACTGAAAAAAATGTTCTTAGTTCCTTTCTTCTTCTGATAAATATAGCCTGATCAGTCTTAGGTTTTTAGTTTTCTAAAAATCAACCCCTCCACAACATTGTCCTTGGATGCTGTGCGACTCTCAGTTTCCACTGTGCACAGAACTGAATACAGTATTACTCATGCTACTACAGGTGAGCCATTGAGGAGGACTAATACCTGACTGGAGCCACAGAAATCTTTCTCCAGGTTTTTGCTCATGCTTCTTCCTTGAAATGCTTTCTGCATTAATTAATACCTTCTCTGTTATATTAATTTTTCCAGACAGTAATCTCCAAAATGCAAAAATTGTTGTCTGTTCTCATCTCTGAATGTAACATATCACATCTTTGAGAGAAATTCTCAAAAGGCAATTAGCCACCTAACTAATTTATGACTTATGTGAAATGGAAATGCATGATTTCAGGAATGTGTAACTGCTGAAGTTTTCACTGGTAAAATTCAATACACACATAACACTCTGCTACTGCAGCTACACAAAACTGTGGCTTTTATGGCTGGGCCCTCTTCTCATCCCATGTTTAATCTTGCTGTGCCTGAGACAGCCCACATGCTCAGAGCACATCTACCCCACAGTGACAGCACTGTATTTAGCACTAGGCACAGCAAGCATGAAAATTTATAACCAAAAAGCCAGGACGGGCAGGCACAGGGAAACGTCTGGTTTTGAGATGCAGATCTGAACTCCTTCTTGACAAGGAGACACTTTTCAGACTGCCCTAAACTCAAGACCAAAACCATTTTCCATTGGTATCACCATCACTGTCTCCTCCAGGGGTTGTATTTTAGAAGTGTTAATCAGCCATGCAAGAAACACAAAGGAATAGTATGGAACTGAAATGATAGAAAATATTTTGAACAGTAAATAATAGATGAGACTTGAGAAACATTCCCGCACTCCTCTGTTCATCTCAAACTCCATCCTCAGGGCCTATGATTTCTGCATACAGCGCTCTTAAACATCTGCTTTGAGTTTCTAAATTCCACTTCCAGAAGCAGGTTCCTAAAGGTTAGACACATCTGAGTGCCATGCACCATTCTGGTTTAGCTATAAATCTTCTTTTGGCAATGATCATACTGGGGCCCAAATTTACCATGTTGTGTGGCTTGAACTGGTTGTGCCCAGGCTGCCTGTAAGGGGCAAAATGCCAAGCCCTGCTTTCTGGTTCAGCTTCCCGGCCTGGTGAGCTAATGGTCCTACAATGCTCACTGTGGGTAATTAGGGATCTTGACGCAGGGTATAGGCTACAGCCCCAGGTTCAACCTCAGTACTGTCTGCATCTTTTTATTTTTGAGCTGCGGACTGAAGATGTGGTAATAGCTTTCCTGCAAATACATTATAGTTCAGTTTTCTATGAAGCATTTTGCAGTCCATGTAACATGCGCCATGAATACCATTGTTCTTCTTTGCAAGGACAGGTCGAAATTGAATTAAGATTATCAGAACGTGTACTATGATATTGGATAGCAGATTGTCACACTGGGCTTGCACACACTCCCAAAAGCTTGACATGTCAAATATATTGTAGCAGTATATTACATGGGGAATGAGCTGAAGTGCTAACTGCCTTTTATGCATGTAGGCACTGATCCAATATTTTAGTATCAATAGACTACAAGGCTGACTGCTTGACCTAGAGTAGCATCTACCAATCCTGTAAATCTCCCAAAATTCATGATGGAACTGCTGTGGGAAATTAAGATTGATTCCTTTGGTGACACAGATTTTCTTTTCTCTATGTTCAAACTGAAAACAAAATGTGTCACTGGACAAAAAAATGCAATGTCTTCAAGAAATGCCTGAAATCAGTAACAGCAGTGATGTGAAAAAAATGTCAATCTCCTATAAACTAACCCAGATACTACACTTAAAACCATGGTTGTTATGCTGACGCTAATTAAACAAATTCTACCCACCGGATGAAAATACCAATTAATTCATTCACATGATCATTATAGGGGGAACTAATAGCAACTTCCAGATCAGTTTGTCTGTCCCCATCAGACCTATCATTTAATTTTTTTGAAATGCCATCAAAATTGCAAGCATACAGACATAAATTTTCTTTTGGAAGTCTGTTTAATTCTGCATTTGACTGTTTGGTTATAAAGCTGTTCAGCAACCATTGACTATAAAGACAGGAAAAAGTACCTAAGTGCTTTTAAAATAAGAATACACTGGCAACAGACATATAGCAATCCAAATATGAAACCAGCTATATGATATTTCACCTTTTGCTTA